GAGATGAACACTTTCTGAGTAGAAGTCCTTGTCATTGTAGGTGTCACCTGCAGCTTCGCTTGAACTGGGGCATGAAGCTCGGATCTGTGAGGGTGGAAACAGGCAGGTGGAGCATCCCTGCTGCCCTCCACTCTCAAATTCCCCAGCACCTGAGGTCATTCACTATGATCTTTGATGGAGTCTTATCTCTGGGTTTCATACCACCAGCCTCACCAAAAGGCCCTCAAAAGTGAGGGGGCTTCAGGGGCACATGGGTGGGCACTGCGGGGTCAAGGCTGGCCTCGGACTGCAAGCTGTGCAGGGACGGAGGCAGAGGCATCGCTTCTGGAGCATCAGTGCTCACCGTGCTGGGTCCCCGCCGCGCTGGCACAACTGTCAGCTGTGGGTACAGTCCTGCCACCGCCCCCAGGTCAGCAGGGACTGCTGCCGTTTTGGGATGGGGGACATTTTTCACTGTGTCTGGGATATTTTTCTTCTGGGTTTGTAATCGAGAAAGAGTGAGAGTACTTAATTAAGCTCCTGTGCTATATAGTCACTTAACCTGCAACATATGGTATAATTAAATAACCAAGTTTTTATTTCTCATACCAGGAAGCAATTTTTTTTGCAGAGTTTTGTTCTGTTATTCTGTAGCTGGGGCTACACTGAAGTCTGTAATTTCTAATTACCAATGACTTCTATTTAACAATCATGTAACATGTATTTCATTTAGAAATTAAATCTGATTGTAGCTAATGAAAAGGTCAGCTCAGAAATGTACCGGTATTAAGCTGTGGGAATCCAGTACTTTCATGAATATTTGTGCTGTACAGGACTTACACAGGGACCAAATCTTACATATTTTAAGAGGGAACCAAATAGCTGAGATTGATGCCATATTTAGTAGTGCAATTTAATTTCTCTTGGAAACAGTAGACCAGTAATCTGAAATTTTGGCTGTCATCCTGCTACTATTTATGAGCAATTTTAATGTAGTAATTACATGTAGGGAAAATTGTTCACTAGGTTGATGAGATAAATGAAAATTTAGGTTTTTTTTCTTGTTTAGTTGTCCAATATTTTGATTACACATTTCTGGAAGCAGTGGTATACAATGAAAGAATCTGGAACGGCATCACTCCTTAGAAATACAGATATTTTGAAAGATTTGCTCACTGTAAGTTAAAGGCAGCTCATTAAACAAACAAATGAGCTGTCCATAGAGCAATCAGTATTTACTATTAACTGAACAGCACAGTAAATAATGAATTGCAGGTAAGGAACTACAGATAAGTATTTGCAGTGAATTCAAATGACTTAAGCCTGAGGCACAGAAAAGCGAACATAAAGATAGAAATGGGGAAAGGAGAGGGAAAAGAAAAAGGAAGAGGAGGGTTGGTGAGTGTAACATTTGGTGTAGCATATATGATCGTTCATTGTACCAAGGAAAGGTTTTCTTCGTAATCTTTTACCTCCCTGCCTGGTGCAAGGGATGCTGCAGCCAGCTCCTTGTGAGAACAAAGGAGGATGTGGAATTCCTGGGAAAAAGCAGGGGTCCACAGCAAGCTCTGGGCCTGATCCAGCACACCAGATCGGAAAGCAGGGCTGATGTTTTTACCAAGGTCAAGATTTTGCAAGATTTGGCACTTACTAAACTCCAGGAGAGCGTTGTGCTTTGGCACCAGTGAGACCGAAACCTGCCCACAGCTGCCAAGTGCTTGCGCAGCTCCCTCATTTATTGCTCCAAACTACTTAAGCAGCTACGTTGTTCATTTGCTAGGAACTGGCACAAGATGAAAAATTTTAGTTTGGAGTTTAGTCATCATAGAAGTAAAAGATAGTGCTGCCTGAAGTTTGGGTATGCATCTGTGTTCAAGGCCAGGATGGATGGGGTGTCTGGAGGATGTCTGATACTGCTAATTTAGGGAAGGGGCTTGGGGTTGTTTGGGTGGTGCAGATGAGAGGGAGTGTTGGTGATTTAATCAGAGACTCTCCAGTTTCAGCTGAGCTGTGGGCCTGAGGCTTGGTAGGGCAGCCAAACACGTGACAGCCATGCTAAACGCCTCATGCTTGGCAGCCCTGTCTATACATCACCTTAAATAAGGTTAATCGCTTGGCACAGATCTCCTTGCGGGGAGGACATATATCTCACCTGTCCGTCTGCCGAGGACCATCGCTGTCCAGAACAGAGCACAGAAGAGCGACCAGCTGAGTCGAGGGATGTTGGGGGAAATGCGCATTAAGTGTTAGCCTTCCGTAATAACTGCTGTCGTAGACATCACAGACAGGAGAACGCCTCTGCTACTCCCTTAGGGGTAATATATATAACATACGAACAGGAACCTTATCTTGCCGGATAGTTATCACTAGGTAAATACCTCCGCAGAGGTACTGTTGCTTAATTCACGTCACCCCGGGACTGTACCTCGTGGAAACTGCCACAGAATAAAATGGCAGAGGTTAAATGCAGCTGCAGGAAGATTTCCAAGTAGCCTTTGGAAGTATCTGATTGCTGTGCACAAGTCCAGCACTGTCTGTCCCCAAATGCTTGCTGCTTCCAAATGCTGGTGCTGTCGACCCCTGCATTAGTATTCAATGCAGGGAAAAAGAACGCTGCGCTAGACAGACCAACTAATTACAGCAGCCTGCAGAGGCAAGTTGTGCTGTATCACATGATAAAGTATATCCTTTTTATTTAGTAGATTTCTTCTTTGCTCTCTGTCACTTTATTAAAAAAAAAAAAAAAAGATATTGTGAGCTAATGGGTTTCGTTAAGGAATCAAGCTGTTTTCCTGTTTTTTTCTTGAATTTAATCTGAATCTATACAATGCTTTGTAACAGTCACATAAAAACAAGTTTCCTACTCCTCAGTGTGCAACCCTAGCAAGCTGCACACCTGTAATCTTAGCTCCCCTTCCTCTGGTTAGCATCCGGGCAGGGGCTGCTCTGGTCCCCAGAGCTGTCAGCAGACGGGGGAGAAGAGGCCTTTGCTACCACTGATGCACGATCTGTGAGCAGCAACACCGGTCAGAATTTTATGAGCCTAAATTGCAATTGTGTGGCTAGAGGGTTTGCAGTCAGAGCATCTCTTTTACCATAGATGACCAGATAGATCTGGAACCGAGCCAGGCAGGACGGGTAAGGCAGGGTAGGAGAGTCCAGTCCCGCAGTGACAGGACTTGTGCAGCCATCAGGTAGCTGCTGGCCAGGGCTGCCATGTGGCTGTGCTGGCGTGTACCCCCCATGCTGTGATACAGCCCAGATTTTATTGGGTGGATGTTTAGTAAGGTCTATTGCTCACAAGTCAAAGCCAGGAGAAATCAAACTGAGGGAAATATCAACCGCCACAAAACAGAATTTACTGATGTTGGCCAATTCTGCCTGATTTGTACCCAGACACATTCTGGGGGTGGCAGCTCGGTCAGCAGATCCCCATCCCCGGTGGTGCCCTTTTGCACCATTCCCTTCTGCAGAGGGAGGCACTAAGCAGATTGGTCACCTTCTTCCATCAGCAAACACTCGCTGCCTAAGGTAAGACCTCTGGTTTTTAGCCTCATTTCTAAACAAATGAGGCTTATGTGATTATAGTATCTGTCCTTGTTCCCTTGTTGGCGAATTTCAAGCTTCATCCAGGGGTTTTGGTCTCAAAGATGTTAACTTCTAGGAAGTTTCCATGAACTGGTGCCTGTGTGAACAGAAATTATCCTGTTAATGCCTCTAGAGAACAGGCCACAGCACAGCCTGATCCTCCTCTCTGAGAGCTAGTGCCAGAGGGAATGTGCAGGGTTAAAGGGAAATCTCTGCTTTGTGCCTGTGTTTTGTAGAGGTCCAGCAAACCAGCCATGAGGAGCGAAGTGTCATGGGCTGAGCAAGGCTTGGTGCTGTCTCTGCTCCAGCTGCAGCCAGCTGTGCTGGGCAAGGGCAAGCATCCCCAGTGTGCTGCCCAGGCCCCACCCCTGCTGCCCCCACATGTGACTGCTCTCAGTGGCCCTGGGGTTGCTTTTCTGATCCATGGATTAACTGGGTAGTATGTGCGAAGATACGAGAGCAGTGTGTGTCAGGCTTAGTCTGGAAATACCTGGTCACAGTTGTACAGCTCTGTTGGTGAACTCTTGAATCGACGCGCACTCTGCCATGCGGGGCAGGGCTGGGCTGCCAGCAGGTTGGTCCTTACCTCTGTCATAGTAGCCTTGTCTTAAAAATAGCTCTCACAAAATTATCTTGACAACTGAGGTCTAAATTCTCTTGAGACTGATGTCCCGTAAGGGCTGTGTGGGAAGATGCACCAGTACAAAACATCTTACACTGGTTAATATTTCACTGAGATATTATGAATGATGCTGACTACTGAAATCCTCCATAAAACCACATTTGTAGAATTCTCTCTCCTTTACTCCTCTGTGAATTACACGTAAATGCTCATTAGAGCTGAATACTTCTCCTTTTGGCAGCCGCTTGACATTTTTGCCTTGTAATGCAGAACCTCAGGATGTATAATAGATTGTGTAAAACCGATGTATAGTAGTTCTGGGATTATGGAAGAAAAGCAAGGGTTTCATGTTCTGGTTCTTATTAATGAAATAAACTAGATTGTGTCATTTTTAAAACGTAAATGAAAGATAAAAGACACATGAAATTTATGAACGAGGTCATTAGTGTACCAAATTTCTCTCCTTAGATTTGTTAAATTTCTTTCCAAGTTACACAACTCTCATTAGAAAAATTTATGAACTTTAATGATTACAAGTATACTGTATTTTAAACCATCCCTGCTTCTAATTGCAAAACAAAAAATAATTATATTTCTATGCTATAATGAATTTGTACTTTTGTGCATGTATTTTTTTGTTAGAAACTTAATAGAGGTCCTTCCCAAAGCCAGGGGGGTGGTGAGAGAGGAGAGGAGATTGTACCACTTACTGCAGTTTGCTGCAAATCCTGAAGCATTCCTTTAATTTAGTAACCTTGTTACAGCCAAGTTAATATTGCAAGCTAATATGGCTGTTTCTTCTCCTTGCTAGACTCAATTTCACATCCTTACATCTGATTTGAAGTGACGGTGAGAGGAAGCATAAGGTGTCTCTCATTCAGTTTGGACTCCTTGTTTACAGAAGAGTGATGGAGATGCTGTTAAGCACAAAAGGGATCACCATATGCCTGTTTTTCTTTGTATTGAGTTTGGCAGCAGGTATTGAAATACCATTATCAGGTGAGTTATAGCTATTTACTGAACACTTTGCTGTTTTGGTTTGGTATCTTTTTTTTTTTTTTTTAATCAAGCTTTCCCTGAAGAAAAAAATATTAAATCCTGCTTTTCAGTTGTTCCATTTTGTATTTAATTCTGCAAGAACATGGCCTTTGGGAAACTCAGATCTGATAAAAATGTAAGCTACTTTGTTTGGACCTGTTTAAATGTAGCAGTAAACTTGTCTAATAATATATATCTGGTGTTTGTGATCCAACATACCACTTAGCTCTGAGGTTTTGGTTTTGTCCTTCACATAAATTCCTCATTTTGGCTCTGAATCTCCCTGAAGCTTGTTTGATGTACATATACTCCTACTTACTTGTCTTGCAACCTGCCATTTCAGCCTGAAAAAGGAGCAGGTGTATGTCTTGGGGCGGACATTAGTCCCCAGAGAAGTATTTCCTATGCCTTGCATCCTGCCCTGGGGAGCACCTCCCTTATCCCTTCTCTGGCTGTGATGCATTCAAACTGCCTGTTTTACATGGTTGGTGTGGTTTCAAGACACGTGTAAAATACAGGGTGAAGCTCATAGGGGACAATCCAGTGAAAGCCATTGGACCCTGCTGCCTGGATTACAGCCCAGACCTCCCAAGTTTTGCATTTTTCAAACATAAATGGACTGAGAGGATTGCAAGCTACAGTTTGCTCTTTTTTTGGGGGGGGAAAGAAACAACAAAGCAAAACTTTATAATATAGGATTTTATAAATTTTGGTGGGGAAAAATAAGTAAATAAACCTCTGGCTTTGGGTCTTGTAGCCTCAGAGTAGGAGCAGTTTCAGGGCATCATGTGGACCTGCCATGAGCTGTTAGCACTCTGGAGTCTGCCAATCACCCTGGCTGCAAAGGAAAAGGCAGTCAAGCAGGTTTATGGGATATTTTTCAAAAGCTATCCAAACTTGTTTAGTGGCATTTGAAAGTAGAAGGGTTTTTTTTGAGGAAGGTACCATAGTGGCTCCTTGTGTTTAAATAAGGCAAAAGTGGAGCTGTGATTGTAAAGTGCAGGACAAACTGTCTGGGCATCCATTGCTTTTAAATAACTACACGGGGGAACCATCTAGCCCTTAATTTGCTTTAATGAAGCATTTTATATTTTAATAAAATGGAATTATGTCCGATCAGTGAAGCTGGTGAGCTTGGGAGTATTCAGCTTTGAGACTGCATGGTATGGCAAGACACCATGTTTCGCTCCAGCATTGAGCTTCCTGGACTTAAAAGAGAAACCAAAGAGCATGTTAATTTTCTTCCTGGCTGTTTATAACAATGTGATGATCCTATTATCCCCAGCTCCACTGCAGGGAGCATTCTCCCTCGTGTGGCTCTGTTACACAGGCATTTGCAACACTTTAATTCCCTTAGAAAAAAAAGTTAGTGAAACATCATTGTGTGACTGTGTGACTGGGAATGGCTCTTTCCCTGCTGTACCCTGGAGGGGGTATTAAGTCATCTGTGCGGGCCATGGATTTCCTGGCAAATTTATCCAGGCTATTTTATCCAGGATGGAGATAGCAGTTTGCTACTTTGTGTGCATGTCTATGTGTCTGGATTAAAAAGCCAGTTATTGACTTCAACAATGAATAAATTTACCAGTCCACACAACAATGCTCAACAATGCTTTGGATTTCATTTTAGCATGGCCCCAGGTTTCCTCTGCCCTGGATGGTTTGGTCAGATGTGGAAGTGTGTGTGGGCAATGCCCGTGAGTGGCAGGTCGAATGCAGCCAGTGCTGTCCAGCCTTCCGCTGGCTGCCACAGCAATAAGAGTGTTCAGTGCCAGGAAGATGATGATGATCATCATCATCCTTTTTTTTTTTTTTAAGGCAAGCCTCACTCTTTCCAGGAGTATGGCAATCCTGACCCTGTCTCTTTTCCAGAAAGGACCTGAGTAGAGCACAGTTTTGTTGGATGGCATTTTAACCTGGTACCTCTTTGTGTTCAGTTGCACAGCTTCCAACAATCACAGAGCAATCTCACACCCAGGTTGCCTACCCTTTTGATGAGGACTTTACAATTAAATGTGAAGCTAGAGGAAACCCACAGCCCACGTGAGTACTGCTTTCGCCTGGAGAGTCAAGCAGAAATTGAGTTTGCTTTTAGCCTTTGCCAAACATCGTTCTGGTTTTGAGGAGGGGAGGAGTAGCTGATGTCTGGTAACCTGCTCATCATCGTAAGGCAAGGTCAAGGTTTGGGTTTCTATTTAGGCCATTCAGCTTTTGTTGCTCCATCACTTCTACTCATTCTGTGAATAGATATCAACATGCCTTTTTCTTGTTGGGAGATGTTTCATTTCTCTGGCATGTGCTAAGTTCAACCCATGATTTAAAAAAGCTTGTCTGGGCTGTGCTGCAAAAGATAGGAGGTGTGTAATGGTAATCAAAGGGTCCCAGCTGTTCTTCTGCCTTTTCCACAGCAACCCTAAAAATACCGAGCACAATAAACCATGTATTCAGAGATCACATTTGCATTTTATCAGATACCTTGACTGTATCTAACATCATCACAACCATGGTGATGTTACAAATATACACACAAGGAGTTATTCAAATAAATATCCAAAGATAAGCTTTATGTATTTTACACCAGTGTAAAAATGAAAAAGATTTTTAATGAAAATGTGAATAACGAAAATATGTAACGAAAAATGTAATAATAACAAGGAAAATCTCTTCCTGAGACTTTTGCCACTGGATGGTGTATGGGCTAAATTAATAGCTGGTTTGCATGTAATTTTTATTCTTTAGTCCTTCCTTTCTTTTTTCTCTGCAACATAATTTCAACTTGCTTTAAAAAGGCAAATATTATTTTAATATCAATATTTGATCCTTTTAACTGGGCTCTGAATGGAGATTTGTAGTGTGATACCAAATTTCCTTTGTTTCACTGTTTGTCAGCAGATTGGTGAAAAGTTTTCTGGTATATTTAAATGTATGTGATAGTGCTGGCTAGGCAATAGGAACCTGTATTCCTCTCCAGACAGGTCACAAGGCAGTTTTGCCAATACTGGTGAAGTGCCAAAACATATATTTCTGCTGCCATTAATTTGTTCTATTAAAACATTGCAAAATGTTGACAAAGATATGTTTTCCACTAAATGCATGTTATACTGTAATTTCAAACGGTCTCTGATTTTGAAATGGCTTAGCCCAATTTCAAGCCGCCTGAGACTTCCAGATACATAAACTATGATCAATACTTCAGCATTCATCAAAATCACACCCGAGTAGTATCAGAACTACAAGTGATTCTATGTCAACACTCAGTTGAGTCATCTCAGTTTCTTCTGGGTCCAACCATGGTATCTCCTGTAGATGGTGAGAAAAGCTCCTGTCACTCCTTGCCAGTCAGAAGTGCCGGCTCTCCTACAAACACGACATTTTTGCAAAGCTTTACTTCCTTTCAATGTGTGGGCTCTTGCTTTCACAGATGGTCTCTCTCATTTACTGTCCTTGCCTTAAGCTTCGTATTTTTATTTCATGTCACAGTCAATTATCCAAAAGTAAAGTATCTGATAGGAGACACATTCCCGATAGCTGACAGAAGTTATGGGAGCACAGCGGTCATTTTACCATTCAACACTCTCCTCTTACTTCAAGTTTTTTCTTTTATTTTCGTGGTACACTATTGGACCCATATTTACTGCTTTTTGTACCATAGTGCTCTCTGTTCTATGACCTGTCCTTTGTAACACTTGTATTATTTCTCAGCTTTAACTGGACCAAGGATGGAAAACCATTTGACTTATTATCTGACCCAAGGATAGTTGCATCTAACAACTCTGGAACATTTGTGATTCAAAACCGTGGAATCATCACCAATTTTCAAGGGAAATATCGTTGCTTTGCATCCAATCTGCTGGGAACTGCCATGTCAGAAGAAATTGAGCTAATTGTTCCAAGTAAGGGTTTACTTTGATTCTGTTGGGGTTTTTCTATTGTTGTTGTTGTTTGTTTTTTGTTTTTTTTTTAAGGTGGAAACTGATTCCTCAAATTAAATGGAAGAGAACTAGTTACTAAGGTGGTGTATGGTAAAACACGCACTGTTTGTTATTCAGTGAATATTGGAAGGAAAACCTCTGTGTGCTCCCTGGAATGATTTTATTTCATTCCTAGTTTTGAGGACAGAAACCAAATCTGAACTCAAGATTTCAGACAGTACTGTGGACATCGACTCCTTACAGGATTCCAAGCACTGATACTGATACTCCTTACCAACAACAATTAATACAAAAGCAACTGGGTAGATTATGTATATGTTTTCCCAGATATATTAATTTGGAAAACATTTATTATTTACTTTTTCTTTCTGAGTATTGTCTGCCCCACTTTGCCTCTAAAGGGTAGGTTAGTGGGTAAATTAGTATAAACTTTTTAATAGACATCTTGGGAGAGATGAATGTTCAATGACAGATATTTGCTTTGGTGCGACAATTTGAATGCCTTTATAAAGCACTTGCTTTGCCTTTGCCATAAAACCTGTAAAATTATTTTCTGATTTGTATTTGCTTAGAGCTATGATTTGCTCTTGTGATGCTTCATCTTCTAATACTTTTTCTCTAAAAAAGAAAGCATAAATATTGATAAGGGTTGTTGTGTGGTAAATTCTCTACTTAAGCTGGGCAGAGACAATTTGTGAGCTGATGTCACCACATCATGAAGATACAGAAATTAAAATATTTGGAGAGATAAAACACATAGCAGAAGAAATACAGAGTAGTTAACTGCAGTACAGTTACTGGAAGGTATTAGCTGTTCATGAAAGATAGAAATAATGGCATAGATCATGAAATAGTGTTAGAATATATTAAAAATGTAGCAGACAATAAAGGAATAGGAAGTCATTGCCAGAGAAAACAAAATTGATTTGAGTCAGATCTCTGTGGGGAAGTATAAAAGACACTTTGTCATTTCGGGGAGACTCCTGAATTAAATTTGGAGCGGTCTCTCTAATACTGAAAAAGTTTACTTGATCAAGAATTAGGAATTATGTGATGGTTTTGCTTTCTAAACATTTATTGTAAAGTAGATGCTGTTAGGAGTCATAAGACTGTAATATTTCAGCTTGGCAACTGTGACTGAGTGCCCAGAAATTGGGAAGACAGTATCATCTCCATCTCAGAGCAAGGGACATGGAACAGAAGCTGGGGGGAAGGATGGGAGAATTATCTGTTTATTACTGCAAAATAGCAACTGATGCAAATATTTGAAAGCTCAAGGAGAAGTTATCCAATCAACTGTGAGTTCATTAGTCTGATGTCAGTAGCATTCAGGGTTTGGTACAAGTACTTACAGAGAGAATATTAAAAGACCTGGAACTGAATAGAAAATGAGCTAAAAATATAGTAGTAAAAATTACTGATACTAGAAACTTGTCCTTCCATCATTAGCACAGAGGGAGGGCAGAGGAAGCGGGTGATTTTAAGGACCAGGTTTATAGAAGTGGGATGAAATTTACTGATGCAGAGTTCAAGGTCCTGATTAGGACAATGCTGATACAACTGATACGACAGGAGATGGCTACCTATCTACAAAAACTACTTCTAGCATGTCAGTGCAGATGAAATGGGCTATGAGAAACATGCATCATCATCTTTGTCATTTCTTTTTTATAGGATATAATCCTGAGAAGCATTCTAGACATAGCCTAGGTGGGAGATTTGTGGCACTGTGGTCATGTTGAAAATAAGTTATATCACAGGGGCTGGGAGATTTCATGGGAGAGGGCTGCTAAGGATGCCATGTAGATGTATTTTTATGAGTGTTCCTCATGAAAAACGTGATTTGTTTTCCTTCCAAACAGTTTAATGGATTTTTTTCCTTGGGAAATTTGTTTCATGTTGCACTGTATTGCATAGTATTCCCTAAAGCAGTAGCTTGGTGTTTGGTGAGGAATTACTGAAATTAGACGTGTTGCTATATGGTTTAGTCTCTACCAGCTTGCAGTTGCTGTAAAGGAATAGCATTCCTGAGTGGAGGAGAACTGCACAAAGTGTTAGGACAGTAAGTTGAAGTTCATTGAACTAGTGATGTAGGACAGTGCAACTGATGTTAACTGGAGTTTCAGTCAGGAGCAGGATAGTGATGCAGTCAATCAGAGCTTTGGACAGGAAATAATTATTAATTTTGGGATGTGGCCAGGGCACTGGGATTAATATGACTTCTCTTAAGCAAAGTGTCTCAGACTCATTAATTTTCAGAGGAGTTCAAGACCTCTGTGTCATGTTTCAGTGAAGGTGTGTCACCTCCAGCAGCAGAATATTCTGATACTTCATTGCCTAGTGAATTAGAAAAGATGCTTAAAAATGAAAAACAAGTTAATGTCTGTATCCCGGATTGTTGATCTATACTTGGAGCAGATAATTTTTGCTTTTAATGAAAAATTTCTATACTAACTTGAGTAGATAATACATAGCCAGTGGTAGTTAGCAACAGATTGAGAAGTTACAAACATGGTTGTTATCAAGTGTGAGGGAAATTTTAGTGCTAACATGTGCAAAGTCCTAAATCCAGAAAATAAATAAATGTTATAGATAATAGAGGAATTTACCCAAATCCCACACCTTCTAAGGCACATTTACTTTTATTCATACTCTTCTGCCATCAATTCTTTCAATTAATGGTGCAATGTAGATGCTGCAAATTAAAACAGGATTCAGAGAGTAACAGAAGACACCTTTGAATTTCTAAAGTGCTGGATAGTCTACAACTGTACTCAAGTGAAAGAGAGCTGCTGGTGCACAGATCCGCTGTAAATTAGGCAATCACTGACACAGAAGAGTTTGGGATAAATTACCTCTATTCACCCACAAGTTTTGAAGCAGAGACTGGTACATGTGAGATCACTACATGCATTCATGATAATGATGCAGAGGTGGCAGTGCTTTGCCAGCTGTATTCAAGCAAAATGTAAGCTACTTGGCAAGTCATTATGCCAATGAAGTGAAGAAAAACCCAGCAAGTCAGACTAGGCCAGTTTTTTTCATAAATTACATTTACACTGCAGAAGTAGAATGCTGGGTCTGTAAGGTTGCTGCTGAAGGGGAGAACAAAAGACTGTTTACTCACAGTAGTCATTCCAGGAAAGCAATAGAAATGTCAGCAGAAATGATCATTAAATCTCACCTACATAATGAAAATACCACACCTCCCCTGTATATGGTGACATTAAGGGGAGTGGGGAACAATGGGGTCTGAGGATCTCTATGTGGTTGCATCATTTACAAAGTCCAGATTGTTACAAGATACATGCAGCATGAAAATGAATTTAAATGGTGAGAACACAGACTTCAGCTACCCTCCTCCTGTATTTAGGGAATCTGTTGCTTGAATTACTGAGTAGGCCCAATGCCAGAGGAAGGAGAAGAACTACAGTTTAAACCTCTTTAATTAACTGTAGTGTAAAAGACTCTTCATGGTATACTGCATTAAGATTTATTTATGCTCAGTATTTCTAAAGCCACTGCTCCGAAAGACCGAAGATCTGAAGATGGAAACAGCCTAAACATAAAATTGTTCAGTGGCAGGCCGTGCTATGCCAGTGATGGTAGTTCTAGAATTCCAAAAGAAACCAAAACTAGTGATAATATCAAAAATGCGGATGTGAATATTGTGAAATATTAAAAGATACTGAGCTGATACTGAAATAGGAGGTCTCAGTAACACGCTCTGTGAAGGTGTTCAGTATAGCCTTTATGGAAGAAAAAACAAAAGAGACTTTGCAGATGATGGGAAAAAAATTTAAACCTCTTGCCTTCTAAACCAGTGTCTTATACCTTTTGACCACTTTTCTGGCCATCTAAATTGTTGGGATCACCCTGATTGTTGCCAGCAATTATCATTATGGATAGGACGATAGATATTTACACAGACAAAAAAGACCATCACTGATTCATCATAAAAGCTTCTTTGAGAGCAAGTATCTGACAGCCACAGTCTTCCTGACAGCCGGGCTTTCCTAAGTTTTTCAATTTAATACAGCAATTAAAAAAATCAATAAATAACAGGATCATATCTCATAAACAGTTCAAAGGCTGCAATGAAAATTATGGATTTAACTACTGCTTATACTACATGGATCAGAATATCAACCGATGCACTGGTAGGAGTACTGGAAGCTGCCCAGCCTGTGCTGAGCACAACTTATGTGATCGGTGACTGCAAGTCACGCTTAAGATTCTTCGATGGGTTGGGTTGTTCAATGCACAAGATACACAGATCCATATAACAAATCAGTCAGCTACTAATTAGTCTCAGGAGCAGGGAATTTCCAGGATATAGAAATTTCTTGACTATTTCCACTTTTCCTCACTCTTAGATCCTTTAAGAATTTATTTGCATGGCAGAATTTAAGAATATCCATGATGGGTCAGGCTAAACATCCATCTAGCCCAGGACACATCTCCAGCAGCATCCACAGAGAATGTTATAAAAACAGGCCTGGGGTATAGTGATGTTTTCCTACAATAGTTTTCCAAAATATTTACTATTTGCTGATTTACCGTAATGAGTTGACTCCCATTTTACACCAGATACTTGCAGAAACCAGATGCCTCAAAGACTTCTACAGTCACCTGAAGAAACCCTTTTCCTTCAGTTCAGTTTCTCAATACTTTACCCATAAACATGTAAAATATCAGATTGAATGGTCGACATTCTCATATAAACTGGTATAAATTGCCATCCTCGGTATGATTGTAGTAGTGTCAAGTCACTGTAGTGAGCTGTAGGACAAAAGCTAATCTGTAAGGCGATGTGTGCTAATAGCTACCAGAGTAAATCTGAAGCGATCCTGCTGGGGACTGGAGAACCCCAACTCTGGGGGCTGTATTTCTGAATCCGTACTGCTGAACTCAGATTTTTATATCGCATTGTATTGGTCTCCCTCCAGTTTGCTTTTTGTTGAGATACTGCATTTTCTGACCAGATAAGAGGTAGGATGGAATGACCCAGTCTCCTTTCTGAAATTTCTCTCAGCCAACCTAATATGCCAGTGGTATTTCAACCTAATCTCAAATACAGTTCAGTCATTAAACTTTGAGTCACCCCAGGGATTAAACTGAGCCTGGTTCCTTGCACAAACGACTCTGGACACTGATAATCTTCCATTTCCATGGATTTTACACATTGTCAAATAACTGTAATTCTGGTTTTTGAGTGCTATACAGCATTCACAGTACAGTCTTGTCAGGAAATAATACTTGGGCAACAAAGCCCTTCTCAAGACTGTTTGGAGAGTTTTATATGTCTTTTAGAAGATGACTCCATAACAGGTCAGGTGTGTGGTTTTTCATCTTCCTTATGGCTGTTTCATACATGCCACTTGATCGCTTGTGTCATGAAAGCCATCCTGCTGGCACTTCAGCAAGCCTTTTTCAGTCATTAAATAATGTTTTTCTCCCCTGTGTTATGCATATGTGTGAGGTTGCACTTGGAGCTATGCTGGGTCCTCTGTCCCCTCTCATTATATCTGTGTGCGGGGAATTACATGAAAGATAGACATGACAGTTTTAATGGTATCGCTGCGAAGAGATCAATTGGTTGTAAATTTTACAGTGTCCATGTGCTGCATTGATAACTCCATACAGTATTAAACACTTTCATGGCACAATTAATCTTGTATGAATCTTTCAAGCTTAATTCAGCTGTGATAGTTTCTGTGATCAGCCACAAATCACTAGTGATTGATTCTGGAATATCCACTAATTAAAACAGAGGAACACTGAAAAAAAAAAATAAAAATACTGCCTATATATACATACTGAAGAGTAATGTGCAAAAGCCAAAGTCTAATGTGATAGTAGCTTCTTAGCTTTAATAAATCTCCTCATGCAGAATTCAGAAGCAGTTGTTTTTCTAATCTTTGAGACCAGTGGGACCCCAGCAAGAAAATATCCTTGTCAAAAGGTTTGGCTCAGGAGTTTATCATGAAAGTTTTCTTCTCTTGCAAAACTTCATGAGTTCAAAATGCTCAGAGTTATGCATTGAGGGAAAAATCAAAGTTTTTCAATATTTTTTCACAAGGAACTAAGTGAAATAAAACATCATGGAAGGACCCAGAAGCCCCGACCACCTGTGGTTCAAGCACTTGTTCGAGGTGGAGAACATTTGGGTTCAAGTTGCTGCTTCCTCCAGCGAAATCCAGAGGCAGATACCTGGGTCATGCATTGGAGATGAATGTCTGAGCTGCCAGCAAATTACACCAAGACATGATTTTTCACCGTCTCCTAGTGGGACTTAATATATTTTTATGTAATTCTGTAATTACTGGCTACAGAAATTAGCTGAGAAGACCAGTGGTTATGGCACCCAACTGGGACTTGGAGACCCAGATTTAGTTGTGCCAAATGAGGCAAAAAATGGGTTTGAACAAGAGTTTCCAATGTCCTAGCTGAGTGATCTCACTATTAGTCTATCTGCTGTTCTCTTTGGCTTAGCCAGAAATCCCTTATCCTTTACCTGAGCCAGCTTCCTAATGTTTTGTTGAGAGTGATATGGTTTTTGGGAATAAATAAACTTTAGATTGAGAAATGGGCTTTTTCCCACTGAAAAATGTTCCACCTCTCCAGCAGTCATCAGATGTATTTTCCCGGGCTTGAAGACTATAGGTGAATGAATGTATTGGATTTGAATATATAGTTCCCTTTGTTATCTGAAATTTCACCTACAGAGAGGGTAATGCTTATTAGCTCCATTTTGCCTCTCTTAAGAATTCATAACATATTCATAATCCTTCTGGAGATAAAAAAAAAAAATCTATGCACAGTCTGCATTCAGGCAATCATCATTATAGTGATTGCTTCTTCTTATGTTTACTAATCCTACAATGTATGAAGTCTCCTCAGAGTCCTGCCCGTCATTTCTCAGCCTCCTCCCTTGGTTTGACTCCTTCAGCGTGACCCTGCAGGTATCCTGTGGAGCTGCTGGACCACCGAAGTTTCAAATTGTTTAGTCGCTATCAGAGTTCCCTGTCAAGACTTGAACACCAGGATGGCAAAGTTTGCTGTGCCAGTTTGGCTCTGCCCAGCCAGGATGTTTTCATTCCTTTGCTGTTTAATTGCTGTTAATTTTGATATTTAATGCAGTTGTCTGAACTGAAACTTCTGCTAGTTTGAACTTGCCTGAAATGAAAGCAGAAGACAACGTCTACCCTGAAACTGTCTTAGCTAAATTTGTTTAAGGAGTGGTTACATTTTGCAGACTGCTTTCTTTGCACTAATCTCTAAGCTCCAGCCCAGCTCTGCTTCCCCTCTTCTTGGGTGTGCTCTGGTTGTGTTTTGATTGCCAAGGCTGGCCAGGTTGCCCAGGTTTGTCAGGCGTGGTTCAGGATTTGAACAGTCTACTGTCATCAGTGCTGATGCTCTGGGTGATTAAACAAGTCCTTGATCCATTAATTATTTAACCTGTATTTAAGCCCAAATAGTGCAGCCTTTGTGCACCCCTCTGTATTCTTTTGTGCAAAGCCCGTCCCTGCATCCCAATGGACAAGCTTGCAGAGAAAGTCTGCAGGTCTGCACAGCAGAGGTTTTACAGCTGAGGGGATGAGGAGGCAATATAGTCTCTAAACCAGACTTCTGCTTCATCTGCTTCTAGAGATGAGGAGGAATTGGGACAACTCCAGGCACAAGGCGGAATAGCTGCCTCCTCTCTGTCCTCCCCTGCATTGACTTGCCGTGGCTTCTTGGGAATAATTTTTTAGCCAAGACTTCCCAGAACATACTGCACTCCCAGTCTGGTTTCTGATCTCCCAGGAACAGCCTGGGACCCGTCAGTGCACAGTCCTCTCTGCCAATCTTAGCCTCAGGCTTTGGTTCTGCTGGCTTTGAGTTGTCCCTTTCAGACAGTACAAAGGAGCTATAGAAGAATTTAAAAATAAATGCGTTAAAATAAAGCCTAAGGAAAGCTCATGAACATCACAGACAAGTGTTAAACACCACCATTAGGTTGCCTGGCTTTCAGTTCTATGGTCTGTGCACTTTATGAATGAAGAATGCTAGCAGAGATTTCTTACTCTTAGTAAAATGCGTCATTACTCTGTATCACTTTGCCAATAATAGCAACTGAAGGCAGAGAATGCAAAGGGTGATGTTAAGGTAAATATTTTATTAAAATTTCTATTAAGGGGGAAGCAAGGAGCAAAATTTCAAAAGGTAACAATAAAAGCGGAATTTCTTTGCTTTTGTACAGGTGTACCAAAATTCCCTAAAGAAAAAATTGAGCCCCTTGATGTGGAGCATGGTGATTCAGTGATTTTACACTGCAACCCCCCAAAAGGCATCCCACCTTTGCATATCTACTGGATGAATATTGGTAAGTAAACAATTTGTACACAGTTCATATGAGGAGACTCAAAACATTCGTCTTCCAGAGCAGTTTCATTACAGATTCATAATTGATGGGAATGGTAATTGTGCAAATGCTTAAGAAAAAGATCTGGATATTGAAAAACAAATTTGAAAAATGAAACGTGGAGATATGTTTTTACATAACACAAAGTTAAATTGTAGAGTGCATTGACACAACATATTATTAAATCTGAGGTACCAACATGCTTATATATCAGTAAATGAGTCTACCAGTAATGAGGACTACTGCATTTACAGTAGAGAGGATAAAATGTGTCAATATATTATTTCTAACATTACTGTTTTCCTCTTTTCATAAACTAATGGTTGATTTATGATACTAAGAAAAAAAAATAGTCTGTCAGGCATGTATAATTAGTTCTTCATGGGTCTCTGTCACGTTGTTCTTCAGCATTTGTGTTCTGCAGGAATTTCTGGCTCCTGGGAAACAAAGTAACCCGGATTGCCTCCATGAGATGGAGGGTTTGTTTCTGATGCTGACCAAGTATTTGCAGAGACAGAGTGCCAGATTAAACCTCTGATCTTATAAGGCAGGCTCTCTACTCCTGACATATGTATTTAGAACAGACTTGCATTTGGCTGGATCAACGAGACAGTACAGCAGCCTTAGTTCATACTAACAATCCCCTGCTGTAGTGAGTAGTTACAGAAGAGCAAAGTGCTTGGAGACTGGCCGTGGGACATCTGTAAATGGTGACGTCTGTATCATCATTACTGGCCTTTGAGTCAGGGAGAGGTGATGGAAATTTTCTTTCATCTGAGCAGGAATTTTGTACTGAGTAATTTTTAATTATCATTTTTTCTTTATAAATTATTTTAAAATATATGTTGAATATTGGCAAATAACATTGCTCATGCTGGGTCTTCTGCTTCTTTGGTGTCAAAGTTATATTCTGTATGTGGAATCAAACATATGACAGGAGAGCATTAGTAGTCATATTGGTGAAACAGCTCAGTATCATTACTGTATCATAATTATTTTTTTCTTGCTAGATTTGCAACATATTCCGCAAGATGAAAGGGTCTCCATGAGCCTTAAGGGAGATCTCTACTTTGCAAATGTGGAAGAAAATGACAGTCGAAGTGATTATTGTTGCTTTGCAGCATTTCCAAGACTGAGGACAATTGTACAGAAAATGCCAATGACACTGAAGGTTTCCCGTTGTAAGTCTGTGGATGAGTACTCGCTTGTTTTCTGTTGTTTTCTCTTTTTAACTCCCCAGGCATCAGTGAATGCAGATACGTGTCTCTGATGCAGTTCTCTCGGAAGAACAGGCATGTTCCCGTGCTTATTCCTGCATTATTAACTTTAAGGGCTAAATTCAACCGATAAGAGCTTGTTGCAGCTGTGGGGCCCCAGAGGTGCCCCATTCTTCCTCCGGTTCTCCCCGCAGTGAACGCCAGTGATGCGTTAGGGTAACCTGCTTCTTTGGCAGTTCAGCAAGTCACCGATGGATGGGACATCGCGGGGTTATGAGGACTTCACGTGGCTGCCTCCTCCCTGGGAGCAGGCCTGGTTTGGTCCAGTGCAGCAGTGTGGTTGGGAAGGATGGGATGGGGCTTCCGAGGTCTTTGCAGGCTGCCTTGAGCATCAGTAGTGACATACAAAGCGTTTTTTAGTTCCTTAATGAAATGTTGTGAAGGGAACTTCAAATTTTATTTATTTATTTTAAAATCTCTGTATTCCTGTAGTCTCCAAGGGTCATATTTCAGGTACTGGCCCTGCCCCTGAGTCTCCCTGGGGCAAGTGGGGATTGCTGTCCCATCGCCATACGCCTGCATTTGTTCAGTGTACACCTACCTGCTGCAGTATCAAACTGCTAATTCAAACTGCATAAAGCCACTGAGTATATGTGGTGTACAGCTGTCAGAAGTGCAGGAAAAGAATACAGATACCCAAGCAAAAAAAAAGCAGTGTTTTAAGGGCATGCTCTCAGCTGCATTAAATCAGCAAAGCCCAACAGAAGCCAGTGGAACTAAGGCAGCTTATACCAGCTGGAGATCCATCCTGCTTTGCCTGAATCTCTTTTGGCTGTAATAGTTTCTGGTAACACTGTACGACTCGCTGAGGTTGCCTGTGCCCTTAATATCAGTTTTCTGTTTCACTAATACTTCTGACCTTTTGAGCTTATGCAGCCCAGAAGACCAAAAAGGTTTTTCTTCATAAATGAAAGCCTAATATTAATATATGGTTTTGAGAGTTTTCTTGTTGGGATGAAAAGATAAAGGATTAATAGTGGCTTTGTATATCTTAATACTTGCTTAAACCATATCTTGGGATAATAATTGTGAGAAAAATATCAAAATGAGATGCTGCTCTCCACAGCTTTTCTAATGGGTCTGGTCCCTCACATATGCACACACAGATTACAGGAAAATGAGGTGGGGTTTGACTGTGGGGCCACCCATAGCCCTGGCAGTGGCCCAAGAAAAAACTTAAGTGCATGCACCTTGCCATCGAAGCCATGAGACTGGCTGCAGGCAAAAATGTGTGGCATATACTTAAAGGGTTTTGTAAACTCAACTTGAGACTGCCCACTCCACTCTCTGCCAAGTCCCCATTGATGGACTGTATTAAAAATAATACGTAGAAAAAAAATGTAAGCAATAAGAAAAAAGAGACTGTATAAATTTTATAACATTTCTTTATAGCGGATACTTAGGGCTTAGTAATTTTTTTATTGTACTAGGTAGCTAGGATGAAATGATGATTTTATCACCTGCGAAGTATTTTACAGAATAATACATATCATTGAAGGATTTTCATTGTATTTTCAGAAATTTATTGTTCATCTGTTGCTTTATTTTATATTTTTCTTTGTTCCTTTCTTTCTTTTATGGTAGAAATTGAGGGGGCATGTTTTTGTTTTGGTTGATTTATTGTTTCTTTTGAGTCTATATCAACTATGCATGTTTGTGTTTGGTTGTCACTTTTATTTATTTCAGTTAAGCATGCTAATGACTCAGGCTCACCTAACGCTGCGGTTTCTAAGGGTGAGTTGAATGCGTCTGTTATTTAGCCTTTAAACTGAGAATCTACTAGCTGAGATGAAATGTGAGATGCTGCTTAGGAAAAAGACAAAAAAATAAATCACAGTTTTTATTTCAATGGGATGGATTTAAGTAGTCCATGGAGTACAATTTGCTCGTCTTGTCCTTTCTGACAGAAATCTGAAGTGTTTTTAACAAAGAGATAGTTTTCTTGCTTGAGAAAAGAACGTTCACATTTCATAATATGATTTAAATAAGGAGGCTGATGTCCTGGGTTTCTCGTGTTATCAGTTCAGAGCAGGAGCCAGAGCTGGATGCTCCAAATCTTCCTCTGGCAGTTAAGATGACTCTGGCATTAGGCACCCACAGTTTGAAACTATGAATTCCTGTGTAAAGGGTCGCCCTGGGGCTGTATTACTCCAAGGTGAGCTAAAGGTGTGGATTTACAGAGCTTTTGCTGCTCTGTGTTAATTGTCCCCATCCCCAGCCGTACCTCGCGGTAGACGGGAGGTGGTTCTCTCTGGCCGTATGTTGTCCTGTCTGATACCGCTGGTAAGCACCACACCAAAGCAGTTCTTATCCTGGGGATTCAGATCTTCCCTCATTTTGCGTTCCCCTCTTTCTGGAGCAATATCCTGGAAATATTCTGCTGAGGTTTATGCAGGCAATGTTGATAAGTCAGAAGGCAGCTAGTGGCTATTTCTGCAATTGTCCACACAGTTAATTTTGTTTAAAAAATGTAAAAATGAGAGTCTTATGTTTTGTGTGTAGCCCTTGACTCTGATTTATTTGGTTAAATTGCTTTGAGAGTCTCTGTTTTTTGAAATGCCCAATTTGAAACTCCTGAAAGACCTCATTTTGCTGGATGAACACTGAAGTTTTGGAAAAGGGGTTCTCCTTGGGTGTTTTGGGATGGATAACTCAAAACACTGATCGGCCCTCAAGCCTTGACCCATGGAAGCTAAGCCTTGTGAGCAGAACAAGCGGGGCTTGTGCAGAGTGACAGACACTCACAACCCGATTTTTCCCTTGGAGAGATGTCTGAAATCCTGTCACCGGTCAGGAAGGGGGACTGCCTGCCTTTGGCAGTGAGAGGTGGAGGGCAGATGGAAAACCTGCGAGCATATCCAGAGGCACCAAAGTGTTTTTCTGTGGCTCTGAGCGCGACACAGATTTGTAGAGATACAAAGCAAAGGGAGGAAAAAAAAATTAGAAAATGATTCAGAGAGATACATGTGGTCTTTTACCAAATCATCCGTAACTGACTATTTTTGAAGAACTAGTACCATTTGGGGACTTATTCATTACTGTGCTAATTGTTATTATAGTGATAACTGGATAGCCATTTAACTCTATGCGTATTTCATCATGAAACCATTGTTTGGCAGGCTGGAACAAATGATCCGTTGAAATCAAATGCAGGTCAATCTTGTTTTATTATTTTAACGGTCTTCCTTACAAATTGTATCTACATTACTGTAGATTTAATAATTGTAGCAAGAAGGACAATTCTGTGGGATATTCAAGTTTGGAAAGATAGGTTTTCATCTGAGATTTAAGAGATGATGGAGCTAATGCAGAAGAAAGGTGCTGTGAAAGATGGTGTGGACAAGAAGATCAGCAACCGAGAAGACCAGTGTGCCAGGAGAGATAGGAAAGTCCTGGATTAGTCTTAAAATGTGTAAACAAAAAAGAAAATTTACAAATCAATGTCCAAAACCTTCTGACAGAAGTAATGTTTGTGGCATTATTGAAGGATAAGCAAAGGTTCTATGATTTCATATCTAACTTTTATTTTATTTTATTTTTTAGCAAATTTTATCAAGGAAAGAAAACCCAAACTGCTGATTCCTCCTGAATCTGCGGGCAGTAGCTCATCAGTCACTGTCATCAAGGGAGGTGTCCTGCTACTCGAATGTATTGCTGAAGGGCTGTGAGTAATGGACAATACTGCACAAACCTAATCACTTTTTTTTTTTTTTTAAATGGAATTGAGCAAAGAAAAAGCTATGTTAAGAATTATACAACTACAAATGAATATACCCACCTACCTATACAGGTTGAAATTGAACCTCTATGCAGAGTTTTTGTGAAGTATGCATCCTCCTTGTAAAGCAGCACACATCTAGCATACAACATTCATGTATTTATTATTGCTATAGCTCATAAACAAGTAATTAAAATCATGTGGTATTTATTGGGTTTTTTTAATTTTATATTAAAAAAAACCCTATTATCAAACATTTTTCTATAGTACTACTTTTGAGATGTTGAGAAATTAAACAACATCAGAATTCAGCTTCTGTGGTTTGACTCACAACCTGTAACATTTCTTTTCTAGTTTTGCCAATTCAGTTTTGGTTCAATGGTCAAAAAATATTCCGCATTTTTCCAGGTGTCAGATCTGAGGTTTTTAAAAGCAAAGTTTTTGAGTGAAGTAAGACAAGACATCCGTTAAAAAAATGCCCCAGGGGTTGAAACTGGTGGTCCATCTAGCCCAGCTGCAGTGAGAGATGTTGGCTTGGGAGCGCGTGTGAACCTGGCTGCTCTCTGTGGTCCATTTGCCAGCATCCAGTATTTACATACAAAGGACGTTCCTTCCGTGATGTTCTCACAGACAACAGCATGTTAAGGAACAAAGTCCACAACTATGTAAAAATCTAGTGAACTGGAGTCATCTGTATTGATTTGATCCTGCTATTATAAAACTAAGAGCAATGGGCTAACTTCAAATTTAGTTTCAGTCCCATGTTTTCTGCTTGGGCCCATTGGTATGAATGCCCCTGGTGCTTTGTGCTGCACAGATATCTCAAGCTTGTTACTACTATCAGCATTTACATTAGAGCACTACTCAAGCTGCAGCTGTGGATCTGGATGTACTAAGCATGGTAAAATAGCTCAGTGAGATGTTTGCTGTAAAAATATAGGGAAGGGTTAAAGTAGACGGCGTGTGATGGGAAATCAGGACAATTTTGTTCCTTATTGTAAATAGCACGGGACAAAATAAAGGTAAGGAAAGGGAATGGCTAACTAAATGCTAAATGCAGTCCTCACAATGACGCTGTGATCCCTCTCGCTGACCTTGTTCCTGCTGTAGTAGCTCAGAGATGAATAAGCTCCACTTTGCCCTCAGTCCAGTTTTCCAGTTTTTACTGTGTGCTTGTAGATGGAACAGTCTGCCCCAGAAGAGATGCCACCTAAACATCTTTCCAAGCACTAAACCCACAATGAAAGCACAGTCGCTTCTGGTTTATTTGTGATAGAGCTTTTTGTTGAATGGAGACCTAAATCATTGTCTTCTCCTGCTGTATGGTGGAGCTGCAGGTCTGTGAACGCAGGCTGTGGTTAGCTGGTAGATAATTCATACTAAAGACTGTGTAATTATATCCCGCTATAAAGTTCCAAAATCAGGATATTAATCTGCCTGAACAAACACGTTTAGGGTATTTTGTTTTTCCATGTGGGCTTGAAAGGGCATTGCTCATTTAAACTGGCAAGATTATGCCTCTGCAGTTGGTTGCCATTTCTGAGAGAAGGTGAATTACTTGTCTTTATTGGATTCACTCCAAGAATCTGCAGTGGTTTAGTTCCCTGTTGCAACACTTCCTTGTCTAATTCACTACCCATCAAGCTAATTCGCAGGCCCACAAACCTCCACAAGTCCACAGCTATGAGTTTAGAGTGTTTTCAAGGTACTTAACAGGGAAATCACCTTGGAAATACACGAATACTAATTTTCATGTGTGAGAATTAATATTATGTACAACAAGAGAAAGCTAGAAAAGGCTGTTTATTTGGAAGAAAAAGTAAAAAAAAAAAAAAAAAGTTTAAAATGTTTCAACTAAACTTTTTAAAAAATTATTTTTCAAACAAAAAGGGGTTTTTTTTAAAGTAGTCATTTCTGAAAGAAGATAAGTACTACTTTGTCTGAACACCAAACAAATATTTTTTCATTGAAACACTTCAAAAATGCAACATTTTAACAAAAAAAAAAAAAAAAAGTAGTATTTTTATTTGCTGGAATTCCCATTTTTCAAGAGAAAAATGGTCAGCTTTGCCTATATCTCTGCCAATCCATCCCACCAAATGTCCACAAACCATGAAAGCGGATAGACTGAGCCAGATTTCGAGTAACTAAGATCAGGGGCAGCCAACTGCAAAATAAGGATTTTAAGTACATTTGCAATCTGTCATTTTTGAAGACTTATATTCTGAGTAATGACAGTGTCAGGAGGGCATTGCCTCAATACAACACCAAGGCAACACAGAGCCTGACTTTGGTACAAGAGCAGGACAAGGACTCTTGCAGGAAATAATAGGATATTTGCACGGTTGTGCTCACTGCTCATGGAAAACTGTAATTTCTTGGTACCTGGGGCTTTGAATAGCTGGTGCCCGGGCATTTTGCCATAATGACAGATGGACACAAGAGTAAGCAGATATGACACTGTGTATGTGCGTTGTGTACAGCGTCGGGGTCGCGAAGCCCAGCTGGGAGTGTGCAGACAACAGTCTGTCCCAAATTTCTGTGTCATTGCCGTTTGCTTTCTAAAAATGTAAGGAGCATTTCCAGCCATCTCCAATGGTTGGCCAACTTTCTAACCAGGCAGGGCACTGAGTGAAGTCACTGTAATGAAGTCTTTACCTCCTTGTCTGTCCTCAAGTGCCCTTTTGGAATAGGACGAGATGAGCTCCGTTCCCTCTCCTGCAGTCCATGGCATGCCACACGTAGGAGGAATGCAGCCTCGTGCCATGCCCTGGTGTTGGCTGTGAAAAACCTGTTCATAGGGGCCCTTCAAATCCAGAAGCAGTAGACTAGTTATAGTCTATAGCATAGCCTTTAGTATAGCCCCAGTGTTTTAAAAGAGCTCAGAAGTCTCTGAAAACTTCACCTTGCAAACCATATCCAAGTCCAGCAGCTCTGCGAAGATGAAACATTACAGCAGCCTAGTATGCAACTCAAAAAAATATTTTTTTTTCTTTCTTTGCTATTAGCCCAACTCCTCATCTAAGCTGGATCAAGGTCACCGGAAACTTGCCGAAGGATGAACCAGAAACGGAAAATTTTGGGAAGATATTGAAGATAGACCAAGTGACTGCAGCTGATGAAGGAACGTACCAGTGCACAGCAAGCAACCACATGGGAAGAGCGAAGCACGAGTTCCACGTTCACGTGGAAGGTTCTGAGTACACTTTACTAAGCTTATTGATTTTCAACAGAGAGGTGGTCAAAGGGAACTGAATAAGGATGTTTGCTGATATCACTCAGTGTAATGCATAAATTCAACCAACTCTATCAAATTATGCTAGCCAAGAACCTGCCTTACAGTTTTGGGAAGCTTGCAGAAATAGCACCATTTAAAAAAAAAAAAAAAAAGAAAATAATGCTTTTTTTTTTTTTTTTTTTTTTTTTTTTTTTTCCTGAACCATGAAGGCTCTACAGAATGGTGAACAGGAGTACAAATACATGAGCATATCCAGTAGTCTAAAGATGTGAGTTAGTCAAGCAGAGATATTGATAAAATGTCTTGTATTAACCTAAGTGTCAGACCAAAAGATCTAATTATTCTACTTGCTCTTAAAGAATGTGGAAATGGCTGTACTGGGCCAGATCAGAGATACGTGTAGATCAATTTCCTTTCTTTGGCTTCCACCAGAAGTGAATTACCAGGAAGGATTATAAAAATGCAGTGAGCAAGCATGGTACCGCCCTTCTCTTCCCCTCCTTTGTATGGTCCCTTGCTATAAGGACAACCTGAGCTAAGAGTTGTTTCTGTAGCCCCTAAAAAGTGTCAGGAAAACTTACGAAACAAAGTAAAAAAGTACTTTCTACTAATTTTTCACAGTTTAAAAAAATTGAAATATGACCCTTTCTGTCATCTCACTTAAGTATCCAAGGTCCATTCCCATCCTAGCCTGCATGCTTGCAAGGGTGACCAACACTGTATTAACAGCATTCATAAATAACCCCAGGGTTACACTTTTGCCTGACATACACTTGTGCCTAGGGTGGTTTGTCCCTGTGCATGAGCATACACCTGGGTCTGGGGGCTGAACGGGGTGAGTTCTGGCTAGCAAAACAGAGAACCTGGAATGTTTGTCCATCTGTTTGGTTGTCAGTTAATTCTGTTGCTCCTAGAAGGCGGCAGATTAATGAAGCCAGCCAAGATACCTTCATAACAGGCAACCTGAAGGGTGCAGATAGAGGCTCATGGTGCCTGCTCTCCCTCCATCCTCTTTTCTCCCTCTCTCCCCGCTCCTACTCCCCAAACCCTGAAGGTATGAGCCCTTTGCACAAGGCAAGTGCAGATGCTCTTTTTCCAGGAGCAAAGCAGAGCTCCAACAAGACTTGGCAAGGAAGCCCTGCAAAAGTATTACGGCCACTGCAACTCTTTCAGCAACGCTGCCCATAAATAGCTACAAAAATGAGAATCATCAAGTGCAGCTCAAAAACTTGCTGAAAACATTTTCTCTTAACTGATGAAAAATGCTCCAGCCTCTGCTCTGCAGAGTAAAAAAAAAAAATAAAAAATCACAGTATCACAGTCTGTATTAAACTGTCGGTGTCTGCCAAGTGCTTCATTTTAATCTGTGCTTCTTCTCACTCCATGGTCACAAGGAGTCCTGACAGGAGGAAAGGCATTTTCAGCTACCTGCTCTGTATTTACTCATCAGCCGAGGAGAAGCGTTTTCTCCCAGTACATGATGAATCATCCCCATTGACTTGACACAACCTTGTGTCTTACAGTCGTCTTTCCCTTCCTGGAAGTGTGGAAGAGGGGGATACCAGGGCATGGCAAGTTTTCAGCTGCGATAGAGGGGAAGTGCTGAGTCCTAGAAATCATTCCAGATGGTTTGGAGCATCTCTGCTGTAGCTGAATATTTTAACAATCTGGCTACGATTTTCTCGGCTATAAAAATTGAATCCTTCAAAGAAATTGCAGGAGCTGCAAAAACTAAAATACCAGAGAATAACATTAATTAAGCAGTTCAGAATATTGACCCCTTTCTCCCCTAGTCTCTAGAGGGAGGAAAGCTTTCTGGCAAATTGTTGTTACCGCTCATTAATAAACAAGGACTTACCAAAAAAAGAAAAAAGGAAATAATCCTATTCTAGCCACTGTAATGTAAAAAATGATTTTTGCAATTGCTGTTGTTTGTTTTCTGTATGTGTAAATAATGTTGGCTGCCGTCACTAGCAGGAATTCTTCCTATTAGGAGTCACCTCACATGCAGGGTATCAAGGTAAAATTTGAGCCCAAACACTGTCTTCTTCTAGACTTTCTAACCAGAAAATGTCACTACCATTAATCAGAGATGGGCATGTTCATCATTCTTGCAGCAACTCCTGTGTGCACACTCAAGGGCAGATCTTGAGTTGGTGGAAGTGAGCATTAATTTCAGTGGGTTTCAGGGAGGTTCTGCTGACGTAAGGCTTCCTCGCACCTGACATGCTCTTCTCAGAGGATGCGTGCAGGGAGAAGAAAATTAAACATGGAAGAAAAATAATCTCAGTTATTAACAGCCAACCATTCTCAATCTAGTGCTGGTGGGTAAATCAGGATTTTGCTATCATTTCTGTCCTATGTCTACTTTCTGTTCTTTCTGGTATTTGAGGATGTCAAACCAATACCCCAGCCTTCTAAATAACGTTAATTAATTATATTTGCATGCAGCCCACTTACTAATCCTACAGGAGTCTGAGTGCAAAGATTCAGGCAATTATTACCAAGCATATGAAAATATTCAGCTAGCAAATTGCTTGACTGTTTGAGCATTTTAATCTCTCTTTGCAAGGAAAGATGTAGCCTGGAACATTGGAGCAGGGAGAAAACCTCTATTGTTGTTACTAGAATGAGAGAATTATATTTAAAAAAAAAAAGCAAAGCACGCCCACAAATTGTCTTGACTTCAAATGGTGGTTTATTTGGCTATTGTGTATAATCCGCCAAGCCCGGTAGAAAATGTGCATATGTAACCTCAACATCTTGTCACTATCGCAGCGCCTGATCTGGTGGTACCTTGATCTTGACTGAGGCTCCTAGACTGTGTTTAATAGAAATAATTATTACAATATAATGATTAATTATGGTAATGATATAGTAGCTAAGGGCCTTTGCAGTTATGTCTTGTAATACTTTCATTACTCAGCTAGAGAAGAATAAAATAGATTAGATTAATGTGAGGCAGAACCATGGCTCGTTGTTTCAATCAGGCTCAAACTGCAGTTGTGTTTCACTGGAAAACTGCTTCAACTTGGATGCAGACCCCAAGGTGGTAACTGCGTCTGAAGCTGCAGATGATACCCCTGAAGTGGTATGGATTACCAGCCCTCAGGAAGATGTGAGGAGAATTTGAAATTATCTTGACAAATTGGGAAAATGGTCTGGAATAAAAAGGATGGGCTTCAGTAAGCACAAGTGCAAAGTAATTCTCATCAGGCAGCACTAATTGGCTTCATAAGCACAGGATGGAAAATGTCTGGTTAGACTAGTCTGGAGGATAGAGTGGATTGCAAACTAAACACCACTTGGAAATATTAATCTTGCAGAGAAAGAAAAAATAGTTCTGGAAAGTATAAAGAAAGGTGATGTAAGAGATACTACTGAGCACTGGTAAGGCCTTGCATAGCACAACCATTTTTACATTGTGCACTTCATCAAAGCTGGGGTTAACTGTCTCAAGTTAGGAGAGAGCAGCAAGGGCAGTCAACAGAGCTCCAAAACATACATTTGAGAAAAAAATTGATAGATATGTTTAATTTAGGAAATAATTAATCTGGGGAACACACAGCAGCCTTTAGATGCACCGAAGTTTCTTCACAATAGATAGTAACAAATTGTTCTACTCATTCCATGGGGATAACATAAGATACTATAGACTTAAATTGCAGTAAGGCAGAAGTTAGACATTAAAAACTTGTTCTAGTTCTAGACAGCAAGGGAGGTTGGGAAGGTTTGGCTCTGTCTGGGGTGGTTTAGGTGTAGGTGATCCTGCTTTGTTGCAGAAGGATGGACAAGATGCCCATTTTAGATCCCTTCTATTTTTGGACCTGTCATTATATTTCCATGAAGACATAAATCTCTTAATCAGGAGCACCACATTTATAACTTTTAGCAAGAAGAATATATTATGCAGTGAAATATTTGACATACCATATTGCTCATGCAGATTAACTGTTTGACTGTCCAACCACTAGTTTTTGTAGTTGCTAAAAAATATGTGTATATTTTGTTATTCTTATATTTTGTGTACTTATAAGTAGTATAGAATATCTGCCACACGGAAAAGAGATTCTTCAGCCTTCCTGTGAAATTACATTTCATACTTGACAAAATTTCATTGCCTGTGGCTTTGCAGCTACATCACTTTCTTGGGGCAACTGGAGCAATTCCCATGCTGAGAAAGGAAAGCAGAGGTTTAATATATCTTCAGCTCACTTGTGTATGCACAAATGAAAATAGGGAGCGAGCTGTTGTTTGTATTCAGTCTGTGCTTGGTGTCTCACCTCCTCCAAAACAAGAAAATATCCTGTCTCAAGCACTGCATTTGTGGCAGATCTAATGGTGGGAAAAAAAAAAAATCATCAGGGCTGTTACAAACCTTTTACACCACCATGCCTTTGACCTGTCTTTTCCTGATGAAAGCATAATGTATATGAGAGAGAGGGAAGGGAAAACATCTACAAAACCAAAATGTTCTGCTGCTTGCAGAGTTTCTTCCTGGAGCCAAATACAAGGAAGCATAACAAGTATTGTCACGTCACAAACTGCACTATGGGAGGGCAACCAGCACTGTGTGAGGAAGGTGGTAGAAGAAATCTGTACTGTGTGAAGGAAACGCAAAGATGTTACAATTTTAAGCTTCAGTGTCTTGGACTTTACTTCAGTCTTTAGCTGTTGCTTAACAGTATCTCTTCATCGGTACTCCGCTGTGGAAGTGGTGGACTCAGTAGAAGCTCTTGTGTATCACACTTCAGGGGTGTTTTTTAATATATGTGTGTGAATATGAGCAATGACGCTTTGTTTTAGTGTGTCACACTGATAACATCTGGAGATGTATTACCAGGCAACAGCTCTGTTAATCTTCAAAGCGCTTTATAAGCATTAACTAATGAATCCTCATGTTTCCCATACATTAGCTCATCTTTTTCAAATAGGGAAAGAGGCCCAGTGACCTGCCCAGCACATGCAGAAAAGGAGTGTCAGGTCTAGAATTAAAATTTCAAAGTTTGTTGCTTCTCAGGGAGAGATAATGATGAATTCAAGGCTGTGTTTTGGATTGAGGCTGCCCATTGAAAAGTAGACAGGCTTGGGGACCTGCATTCAGTCTGTAGAGAACAAAGCATTAATCAGATTAATGCTTTTATTTTTTTTCCCTTCAGTTCCCTTCCCTCCTTTGTGGTTATGTTTTGCCAATGAGGTTTGGTTACCTGATGCTCAGGGGCTGCTCTGCAGAGGAGAAGGTTTCCCATGAGTTACCCCAGTTTAGCTGGCAGTGGTGGGAAGGGGAGAGCAAGGGAATGCAGCAGCACACTGCTGCTCCTCTGCCACCACCCTGTGGGCAGACCTCTCTGGACTGCTCCTCAGGACAATGGCTCTCATCCCCAGGGGTGAGAGAATGTTTCATCATTCCTAAATACGTTTCAGATCAGCCTCTTATTTCAATATGTGATGTAAAACAAGGATATTAAAAATCATAGTGCATTTCCCTAGCACATGTAGATGAGCAGATGGAGATGCTGCTCCTGCATCGCTGCTCTCTGCCCTCTGACTGCTCCTGGGCAACTTGGGGGAAGCTGCTTGCCTCTGCCGGGGGGGGGT